TCTAGGAGGTAAATAATGTTATGACTTCTACAGTTAGAGTCGTGGTAGATTTTGAAAGTAGATTTAGTGACAGATAAACAGAGATAACTGACATCCATTATCATGGCAAGTGGAACTAGAACAGTCTACCCCAGTGAGCCAAATAAAGTTTTCAGTTCGACATTCCAACCACCTGAAGAAGGCCGGAGCGTACAACGGCCGAAACTTTGTGATAAATATGGCGACAAAGATGAGGACAATAGTTCGAATAATGTAAATAATGTACAAATTAACAGTCTGTCTTCCAAAATCCAAAACAATCCGAAAACCGAAACACTTCCTGTCCCAAGAACTTTGAATGAAGGATTCTCAAATTTGATAAATTTTTTCAAAAGTAGAAATTGATTTTTCAAAATTAGAAATTCATTTTTCAAAATTACAAATCAATTTTTCAAAATTACAAATTGATTTTTCAAAAGTAGAAATTAATTTTTCAAAATTAGAAATTCATTTTTCAAAATTATAAATCAATTTTTCAAAATTACGAATTGATTTTTCAAAAGTAGAAATTGATTTTTCAAAATTAGAAATTCATTTTTCAAAATTACAAATCAATTTTTCAAAATTACAAATTTGATTTTTCAAAAGTAGAAATTGATTTTTCAAAATTAGAAATTCATTTTTCAAAATTACAAATCAATTTTTCAAAATTACAAATTTGATTTTCAAAATTACAAATTTGATTTTCAAATACAAATTGAAAGATATAATTTAATTTTCAAATACAAATTGAAAGATAAAATTTAATTTTCAAATTAATTTTGAAAGATATAATTTAATTTTAAAATTTTTATAGATGCTATATACAAATTAAATAACCTGTTTTCCAAAATTAGAAAAAAAAATCTGAAAACCGAAGCACTTCCGGTCCTAAGAATTTCGGATAAAAGATTCCCAACCAGTATTAGTAGATGAATGTGGTTGTGAGCGTTTTTGTGTGAGTCTTTATGTGGGTTGGTCTTAAATTTTCTTTTTTGACGCACACCTGAAAAAGACGATTAAAGAATCTGTTTCGACGCCGAAACCTGCCCAGAACGATCTCTTTTCAATTATTAAAATAATTTATTTTCTCTAAAATATTCAGAGTTCATCATTATTATTTTAAAATCGTTGTATTCTTGCAAACTTTTCTGATTTTTTCATGGACCCGTCTTTCAACGATACTTTCGAAATTCTTAATCCGTTAACGCGTGCCAGGTGAAACTCTGTGGACCCCCCTTTTTTTTTTTAAATTCTTCCCCGACTCCACTGGAAAAAAAAAAAGGGGGAAAGAAACTAATTTTAAAAAATTCTTAAAAACACACCAAGAAAAGATTAAATAAAAAAATCCTTAATATGCCTCTAAAAAACGCTAAGAAAAGAAAAAAAAAATTACTTCAGTAATAAATCAAGCTATATTATTTTTAAGGTCTGTTTATTTTTTTTTCCGTTTTAAAACCGTTTCCAATTACAGTATTTACCAAATTTGCTTCCTTAATTTGCAGACAATGTGGTGACAGATATAGAAGAACCATCTAAATGGAAGACCCACTAGCAACTATTAGGATTGTTACCTTTTTCAAGTCGGATGTTATTTTTTTTTTCTTTACCGCGAATCTCACTGATTATCACCTTCGTTTTGAAGCGAAGACATGTTTGTAATATTAGACAGACATAATGGCGTCGTAATATTATGACAGACATAATGGCGTCGCACGAAAGACTAAACTACGCCAACAATAGCGTGGCGATCTATTTAATCACGAAGAAACAAGTCAGTCAGCCTTCGTTGATCAAACTAAACATTGACAACACCGTATGAAAGCCCAATGGTTAGAGCGCCTGTATAAATATATAAAGTTTACAGTTCAAGTGTTTTGAGAGAGAGAAGAGAGAGAGAGAGAGAGAGAGAGAGAAGAGAGAGAGAGAGAGAGACTTTTTTAGTGAAATTACCAGCAATACATTAAAAAAAGACCAACAATACATTTTATCAGCATCAAAGTATATTTCTAAAAAACATACTCTAATGACAAAATTACACAGGTGTAAGCTTTAAGAAAGCTTTATTCAACTAAGAATACATGGTTCGCGTATAGTGTCCTTTTATTGTCCCAGTAAACAGAAATAGGAGAGTAACAAAACAAGGGGAGAACACTATTGATTATTCATAACACGTACTTTTACCGGGAAAGTATAAAATTAAGCACATCATATCTGTAGTTGAAGTCATAAAATTATGTACAAAATATTTGGATTCGGCATTAAATAATGCATAGAGGTTGATATTTGCGAAACAAACCGAACCAACCAAGCAACTAACCAACTAACCAGCTAACGAAACAACTAACCAACCTGTCAACTAACGTAACAACCAACCAACCAATCAACAAGCTAACGAACAAACTAACCAACCTATCAACTAACGGAACCAACCAACCAACCAACCAACCAACCAACCAAAGAAACAACCAACCAACCAATCAAACAACTAACCAACTAACGAACCAACTAAACCACCAACCAACCAAACAAAGAACGAACCAACCAACCAACCAACCAACCAACCAACCAACCAACCAACCAAACAAACAAAGAAACAAACAACCAACCAATCAAACAACTAACCAACTAACGAACCAACTAAACCACTAACCAACCAAACAAACAAAGAACTAACCAACCAACCAACCAACCAACCAACCAACAAACTAAACAACCAACCAGTCAACCAACCAATCAACCAATTAACCAACTAACCAACCCAGAAGATGTTTAGCTCCAGAACATTAAATTAGGTGTTAGATGTAAACGTGAAATCGCTTGAATTCTTTGTCAAATCGTGAAATGAATGTAGCCACAATTCTCTGTTTTTCAACACAAATTCGGATGGCCCCAGGGCTCTATCCTCGAAGCCATTTTATTCCCAATTATTATCAATGGCCTTTCAGGTGTCATCAATCCTCGACTCGGTAGCTATACCGACGAAACAGCTATTTAATCTTCTCTTAATGCTCGGGCTATACAAGAGCCAGATCAGAAAGAAAATGAATTACTGCTGCTCAGTTGTCACTTTCCAGTCTTAAAATTTCAAAAGCTTTGACCTGTTCTTGTGGGTGATGAATGATTTTCTACCCTCCAATCCCTTTCCTCACAGGCGAAACGTAGCTATCCTCTCGCTACTCTATCGCTATTGCCATGGAAAATGTCCACCGGTTCTGAACATCACAACTAGGAGCCGCTACCTTGTAGAATCCACTCCCAAGAGGATGCTTCCCCGACCAATACAACATTTACCTAATCAAGTCTAGAGTTAACTGTTATCTTTCCTTCATATTTTTATAAACTGCCCCTCTTCCCATTTATTCTTAGCGCTCATACACAAAATTTCTTCAGTAACGCTCTATCTCGAGTGCCTCTTGAGCCTTTTATATAAAAAATTATCAACAATACATTTTTTTTAAATTTAAAAGTTTAACACATACAATTGTGTTGAAAATATCTGTAGTTGAAGGCACAGAATTGCGTACAAAATATTTAGATTTCGGCATTAAATAATCCATAGAGATTGGTATGCCACTAAACAAAATCAACCAATCAACTTAAGCTAAGTCCATAACACTAATATAATCTATAAGATTAAATGTAAACGGGTTATCTTAGGTGTGAGATTATCTGGTAGGCGGACGTCTATTCAGAATACGTAGATTAACAAAACATTTACCTAGACTAAATGCATAATATTGAGAATTGGGAAATCATATAAAGAATAGAGAAAGATGCCTATTCAAAGCTAAACAAAGGATTTAACAAAAGGGATCATGTTGAACTGTTAGGCACTGAATCGGGACTAAATTTCGGGTCGTTTTTTAAGCGAATTTCAATGATAATATTTAGACATGTGTACATAGATGTATTTAACTACATAGGTGTCATTTTATTTCACCATCTTTGTGGCTGCTTCATTATTCCACGCTTCCATAGAATTTAATAGGTATAGAGAGAAAGAGAGATAGCGAGAGGGAGATAGAGAGAAAGATAGATAGCGAGAGGGAGATCGAGAGAACGAGAGAGAGAAAGAGAGAGAAATTTGAACTAGATCTTGGTTGGAACTTTAGCTACGTTCTCTTTCTTTTATATACGTGTGAATTCCATAGATTTTCCGCAGTCGTATCATTGGAACTTGAAAGTGACAATAACAATAACATTTTCGGTGGGGAGGGGGTGTTATTTGTTGTCTGAGTCAGTAGAATATTTACACGCGGCAGATTTGGGCGGTTTTAGAGTTTTTATTAAAAAGGATAGGTACATGATCTATCTATCTATCTATCTATTTCAGCCTGTTCATATCTATCTATCTATCTATCTATCTCAACCTGTTCATATCTATCTATCTATCTAAACCTGTTCATATCTATCTATCTATCTATCTATCTATCTAATCTATCTATCTCAACCTGTTCATATCTATCTATCTATCTATCTATCTCAACCTGTTCATATCTATCTATCTATCTATCTATCTATCTATCTATCTATCTATCTATCTATCTATCTATCTCAACCTGTTCATATCTATCTATCTATCTATCTATCTATCTATCTATCTATCTATCTATCTATCTCAACCTGTTCATATCTATCTATCTATCTATCTATCCTTTTAAGATTCGCTAATGTAAATATATGAACCCCATAACCCTACAGGTATGAACTTTGCTTAGTTTTCTCCCCACCCCTATACCCGCATTTTGAAAAACCCTGATTCATCTAATGCGTTCCATTCCTCCCACTTGTGTTCCAGCCAATTTAAAGGGAAAACCCTTTCCCCAACTAAAAGATAAAAGTTGCAGCTCTTGTCTCATGTTCCTTATCTCAGCATCGCATACGCGCTTTTTTTTTTTCCAGCATCGCCGTTTTTGCTATTGCCACCTGTTTCCTGTCGTAAGAATTCTGCCTCTTCGCGTCTATGAGATTTCCGCAGATCAGTCATTAAGGAGAAGGAGGAAGAAGGAAGAGGAAGAATTGAAAATGTGGAATATAATAATAATAATAATAAGAAGAAGAAGAAGAAGAAGAAGAAAAAAAGAAGAAGAAGAAGAAGAAGAAAAAAAGAAGAAGAAAAAGAAGAAAAAAAAATGAAAATGTGTGGAACAGGAAAACAAAAAAGGCATACGAAAAAAGACAAGAAAAAAGGGCAAACGACTAATAAAATAGAGGAGAAACATTTTCATTGAAGAAGAAGAAGAAGAAGAAGAAGAAGAAGAAGAAGAAAAGGAGGAGTAGGTGGTAGGAGAAAAGCGATAAAGAGGAGTAGGTGGAGGAGGGGGACGAGGAGGAGAAGAAATAGATAGAAAATACCACGTAATAGCGCTTTAGAAGATGATAAAAGAAAAAGGAAAAGAAAATGATAAACATAAAAGAAGCAAATTTAAAACAAGAACAAAAATTAAGAGAAGAAAGGGTGGTGTTGGTGGGGGAGGAGAAGGAGAAAAAAAACCGTAGTCGTGATGATGATGATGATGATGATGATGATGATGATGATGATGAAAAAAAGAAGAAACGGAAGGAGAAGCAGAAAGAAAAGAGAAGTTGGTGTGGAAGTTGATAAAAGCAAGAATTAGGAGAGTAGAAGAAGGAAAAGAAAAAAGAGAATAGAGAAAAAAGGAGGAGAGGAAAAAGAAGAAGGAAAAGAAAAAAAAGAAGAAGATGAAAAAAGAAGAAAAGGGAAAAGAAAGAAGCAGAATAGGGGAAATAAAGAAAAGCAGAAGAGGAAAAAAGGAAAAGAAAAAGACCGAAGAGACAAAAAAAAAAGAGGGAAAAGAAAAAAGAAGAGGGGGGAAAAAGAAGAAGAGGGAAAAGAGCGAAAGGAAAAGAAGAAGAGGGAAAAAGAGCGAAAGGAAAAGAAGAAGAGGAAAAGAAAAAAAAAAAAGAGAAAAAAGAAGCAGAAGAGAAAAAAAGAAAAAAAGAAGAGGTAAAAGAATCAAGCAGATGCAAAAAAAGGAAGGAAAAAGAAGGAAAAGGAAAAATGAAGGAAAAGAAAAAAGAGGAAGAAGGAAAAGAAAAAAGAAACGGAAAAAGAAAAAAAGAAAAGGAAAAAGACAAATAGCAGAAGAGGAAAAGTAAAAAATTAAAAGACAAGAGGGAAAAGAGAAAAGAAAAAAACGGAAGAGTGTCAAGTAAAATGAAAATAAAAATAGTAAAATAATGATGTATAAATAACAGAGAAAAGAAAATCAAGACTTAATTAGGCAAAAGAAATAATGGTAGAGTTAAAAAATACCCCAAATATAAACAAAATTAAAAAAAAAAACCCAAAAAACAAACAAAAAACGATGAAGTAAAAATAGGAAAAATTCTGAAAGCAAAATAAGAAAAACACCGGATTTGGGAAAAGAGGGGGTTTGGAAAGAATAGAATAAGACAAAAACATGAATTATGAAAGAAAGAAAAAATGAAGGAAAGTGAAGAATGAATTAAAAATAAGTAAAAATAATTGTACAGAGTGGAGGGTGGCAAGAATTTGCTTTCCGAAGAGAGAGAGAGAGAGAGAAAAAAAAAAAAAAAATCAAACGAGGCATCAGATAAAAATAAAAGAGAAAGTAAATAAAAATAAATGCAAAGAACAAATACGTGAATTGGAAAAGTCTAAGAAAGGAAAAAGGATGAAATAAAAAAAAAAAATAGGATTAGTAAAAATAAGCAGATACGAAAAGAAAATGTCTAATTGGAGAATGAGAAGAAAATAATTAAAAAAATCTGAAGTAAAACTGAAGAATTAAACGCAAATATTTGCTAGGTAGGATAGGAGATAGAAAAACTGGAATTGAAGAGGTGAAGGAACGAAAAGAAGAAAGTAAAAATAAGGAAAAGGGGAGAAAAAAGTGGACTGGGAATGAGAAAAAGAAAAAAAAAGAGGTCAAAATAAAGAAAAAAGAGGACAAAATGAAAAAAAAAAAAGAGAAATAATGGAAAAAGAAGGAGAAATGAAGAAAAAAGAAGGAAAATTTGGGGAAGGGATTGAAAAGAAAAATATAAAGTAAAAAATGAAGAAAGAAGTCAAAATAATTGTTAAGAACAGAAAGCAACAAAAAAAAAACGTGAAAATCAATATATAAAAAAAAATTAAGTTAATTAGAGATTGAAGTAAAATATTTGTGAGAAGATAACAAGAAGAAAGAAAAAAAAAAAAAAAAAAGATGAAGTAAGCGTAAAATAACGAAAAGAAAAGAAGCGTGCAAATGTGTGAATTGGCAAAGAGAAAAATGGGAAAGAAATGAGACAAAGATGAAGTTAACGAAAGAAGTAGACACAAGTGAAATCAAACGAAGACAACTGGCAAAGAAGAATAAAACTAAAACAATATGAAAGCAAAACGAATACACGTAATTTGAAAAAAAAAGATGAAGGAGACTAAAGAGAAGGAAAAAAATGAATAAACCAAAAGTAATTGGCATGTATGAAAGAAGTGAAGAAATTGTGATTTGGAAAAGAAAAAAAGGTAGAAAAATAAAGACCGGAGCAAACGTAGCTGAAAATAGTACAAAGCAAAAGCGGAAGTTAGAGAATAAAAATCAAATTAAAAGACGAAGGGAAATAAAAATGAGATGAAGCAGAATCAACGAAAGCGGGGGAGAAGAACGAAAAATATAAACTAAATTGATGGACATATAACAGGGGAAAAAGAACACAAAAAATTGAAATCGTAATGAGACGCAAAAAAAAATAACAGGATAAAAAAGATCAAATACAGCAAGTATAAGAAATTTGGAAAATCATACAATTTACTTATATTGTAGATTTCATCTCATAATCGCCTGTTAGAAAATCTTTCTCTAAAACTAGTCACTTAAAAAACGAAAAAAAATCTTTCACTTTCTGCATTCTCATCAGATTTTACCTTTTACTTTCATTTTTTTTCGTCTCTAGTTTTATTTTTTCTTCACTATTTAATATTATCAAAAATACACTTTGGCACCTTTCTTCTCAGTCTACTTTCACTTTCACTTCTCCAATTAACAACATCATTAATCCTCTTTTAACTTTATTCATTTTCTGCCATTCTATTGAAATCATCATCTGCCTGCGTTTTTACCTTTTTAATAAACCTTTCTTTTTTCTGTATTTGCAATATCTCATTTCATAATCTCCTCCTCCTTTACAATGCTCTTCTGTTCAGTTCTATTACATTTTCTCTCCTTTCTTTAGTACCATCAACAGTCCACGTTTTCTTCTTTCAAGTAAGCCTACTTTCACTTTCGTTCTCTGTTTAATGCCATTCTAGTTTTTCTTTATCTTAATATTATTTTCTTACTATTATTACTTGCCCTTTGTCTATTCTTTCTTTCTTTCAATAAGCTTACTTTCATTTTCTCTTCTCAGCTGTTCCAATTCGTTTATTTCTAAGAAGTATATTTGTACTTATCTACATTGAACCGCATCATATATTCTCCAGTACTTTCTCATATGTCTCATTTCTTTTTCTGGCTTACGGCCATATAGCGTTGAAACCCGGCTCCTATCGAAGTTAAGCAACGTCGAGACTGGTCATTAACTAGATAGGTGAAAAATGTAACTGGTGACAAGACACTGCGATTAAACTTTTTATTATATTTTTCTTGCCTTCATACAAGATATTTCTTTTTGGTACATCTTACACACTGTATGCCCCTCTCACAATATCTTATATGAATGCAAGGGAAATATAATAAAAAGCATAATATATATATATATATATATATATATATATATATATATATATATATATATATATAGGTCGGGTTTCGATCCCGGTTTAAAGCAATCGGATGTCTAGCCACACTGATGAACCAACCTGTTTGTGGATGATTATTTATACACTCGAAATAATTCTCGGAGAGGATTGGGCGATTGTATAAACCGTACTGCTTCTAATGCAAGGCTCTTCAACTAGAATCGAGCTCTCCTAGCGACAAACATCTTTCGTATAGTAAAAACGATAAAATTTTCCTTGCGCTCTGTTGTGCAACGATAGCTTCTTGGTAGAATGTCTGACCCGTGCCAAATCGTTCTGGTTTCTGTCCTGGCTTGAAGCAATCGGATATCTAGCCACACTAATGAGCTGTGATACAGCGAACTATCTGTTTGTGGATGACTATATATAGCGACAAATCTCTGTACAATTTTTTTGATATTATATCCATAAATTCATATATTACCCGCTGGGAATGAACAATCATTTGGACAATTTCTACTCACATAAAATCCATACATATTACTATAAATAATAAAATTGTATGTGTGTGTGAATAAATATATATATATATATATATATATATATATATATATATATATATATATATATATATATATATATGTTTCATTTTCAAAATTTAATCGAATCTACAGAAATTATTGTATTGTTTTGCCAATGCCTGTTTTCAAACTGACGCCCGCTCTGGTCCAGGCAATACTAACAAAGCGAAGCATAGTCTTTATCTTTTAAATTTTCCCATAAAAAATCTAGAGATTTGGTGAACGCGGAGGATATTCTACGAAACCTCTTCGTCCAATCCACCTGTTTAGCAAGATCTCACCAATGTAGGATCTAACATCGAGATGGTAGTGTGGGATGCCCTATCTTTCTTAAAATAAAAGTCCTCATCCTCAAATTCTTCCCTAACGCTTGGCATAACAGAATTTTGCAGCAAGTTCAAGTAGCCAGAACCAGTCACAGTAGCGTAAAAAAGAATGGTCCAATTAATCCTCTTGATGAGAAACCGGACCAGACTCCTGGTAATTTAACCTGATGTTCCACCATAAAATACAGATTTTAAAGTCCCCAGTATGTGCAACTAAGGCGGTTAATTGAACCATTTAATTTGAATGTGGTCTCATCACGTCACACAGTTTTTGTTGGCAAGTGTGCATCTTCTACGCATCGTGCCAAGTACCACTCGCAACACTCCACTCTTCAGTCTCATCATCATTAATAGCATGGATTAATCTTGGAAAGCAACGTTTCCATTGATAGTGCTTAAAAATGCGATAGACAAAAGATTTTGAAATATCAACCTAACGACTTGCTTGCCGCACAGATTTTCATGGATTTGTGATGTGTCTCCAGTATTCTTTCTTGTTTGTCGATGTTCGTGGTCTTCCGGAAGGCTTCTCGTCGACATTCTGAACATTTCCATCTAATTCGAGAAATGGTAAGTGGCGTTGGTGGATCTATTTGTAACTCCCGCCTAAATTGTCTTTGCACTTCAACTGCGTTTTCACAGTTCCAGTAGCATTTTAGAATGAATTTCATTTGTTCAAAGCTTAGTCTTTCTGCCATCATTTATTCTTAGGGGTTTAAACTGGAAAGAAAAATACATTAAGTTATCAGCTTTTAGAGTGTGTACACATTTTTGGGACATTATATATATATATATATATATATATATTGTATATATATATATATATATATATATATATGTTTTTCCGTTAAAAACATATTTCGATATATTTTTTCGTCTCGGATGCTACCTGAATTTTACCAAAAAAAAAAAAAAACTTTACATGCCTGAAGATGACTGAATGTACAGTCGAAATACTTGCGTATTAAAGAAAGACCTTATACAGCTTATAATTTTTAAGAACAAGGATCATAACATTTATCGAGTGATATGTAGGTTAATGCACCTTTAAAATTTTGTTAGCGAAGTGATTTCGCCATTTCATATCATTAACTTTACTAATCTACTTTATGTATAAATGAGTCATTGTAATATATATATATATATATATATATATAAGTGAACATGGAAGTTAACGCTCAGTGGCGACAGCTAAACAATATCATCAGGCCAGATGATTGTGTTTAGCATGAAACATTCTGTCGCCTCTGAGTGTTGAGTTCCATGTTCACTTTTATATTTACATACGCTTTATCTCTGATACTGAGCAATTTTATCCCATAGATATAGCACACCTTTTAAAATTATATTTTTCATATATATATATTATATATATATATATATATATATATATATATATATATATATATATATATATATACATATATACACATATATATATATATATATATATATATATATATATATATATATATATATATATATATATATATAGCTTTTTGTATGTGGAGTACATAGTAGAAAGCGCTTAATATCAGTGATAGACCTAACATATTCTGTTTTATGGATATGATTTTGTGACCCTGGGTTTCACGCTTTTCCGATCATCAGACAAACATTTTTATTTTTTAAAATTGGATTTATTTATGCTCGGTTAACAATTTATGTTGGTGGGAGGGATAATTTCGTTCCTTACTTGCTCGGGATGACACTCCCATACACACAGTCACACTTACATACAGGTGTACGCATTTTTGTTCACACAAACGCACCCATATAAACAATCCGAGGCTGACTGCTTATGTGTTATTGACGATTTCGATTATGCTGATAGTGATAATGATTGTGGTATTAATCATTATTAATATGTTAATGATAATTATTGATGTGCTAACAGTAAATTTAACCTTAATGATAATGAAAGTGAAAGTATAAAATAAAGCGGGGGTAATAATTACAATCATCATCACCATGTCCACAAAGAGAACCCAAATCGATCAAAGTTTATGTGCGCGTCTACGCATGCGTGTATGTGTGTGTGAGGGTGTGTAGGTTTATGTAATATAACACAGTTGTTAAGCATATATCAATAAATATATTTATTAATGTACACACACAAACACACACATATATATATAATTGGATGAAAAGCATTTTCTATTTAGTTTTCGTTTAGTTGACATGTAGAAAGATCTACAATATATATTTTCTCTGTCTGTCTCTCTCTCTCTCTATATATATATATACAGTGGGTATCAAAAGTATTTAACACATTGGTTTTTCTTACATATCTCAAAAAATAACAGATCAATTTCAACGTAACTTATAGAAAATATTTAAACGAACATTGTCGATCAAAACAGAAGGAAAATTTAAAACCACTGTTTTGAGAAAACATTTATTAACAATAAATAAAATAACCCATATGCAAAAGTATTTAACACCATTGCAAATATTATGTTAGAAGAGACGTGTCGTCATGATTCCTACCCATATTTATATGATGTGATATGTCGACCAATGACAGCACTGCACGACACTCAACTGGCTATTAGATAACAGCTCTGAGACACTGCAGCTATTCTGTTGCCACTACTGCAAGAAAATGGTGAAAACAAAAGAATTGTCGAACGACATGCGCAAGAAGATCATAGAGAATCACAAAGATGGTAAGGGATATACAAAAATCGCTCAACATTTGAATTTGCTTGTGAGTACAGTTGGTGCTGTTGTTCGAAAATGGAAAAAATTCGATACTATTGAAAACATTCAAAGAAGTGGTCGTCTCCGTATCTTAAATGAGGCTAATGAGCGATACATTTTCCGTACTGTGAAGAAAAATCCATTTTCAACTCGTCAAAAAATTCAGAATAATTTGAAAAATGCCTGAATTGAAGTTAGTAAAGATACAATTAAAAGATCACTGAATCGTGCAGGTCTCACTTCAAGATCACCGAGAAAGACTCCATTACTGAAACGCCGACATGTACAAGCCCGTTTGAATTTTGTAAAGAAATATGAAATTGAATCTAATGATTTCTGTGAGAAAGTAATTTGGTCAGACGAAACTAAACTTGAGCTTTACGGACGAAACATGCGCACTCAAGTATGGAGGAAAAAGGAGCGGAATACAAACCAGCAAATACCATCCCTACAGTCAAATATGGGGGTGGAAATATTATGATGTGGGGTTGTTTTTCTTCAAATGGAGTTGGAAAAATGAAAATCATCGAAGGAACAATGAATGCTGCAAAATACACACAAATTTTGTCAACTCAACTCTTGAACAGTGCCACATCTTTGGGACATGGTCGTGATTTTGTATTTCAGCAAGACAATGACCCGAATCATACTGCTAAAACAACTAAGAATTGGTTTAATAAAAATGACATTAATGTCCTGGAATGGCCAAGCCAGTCACCGAATTTAAATCCAATCGTAAATTTGTGGAAACTATTGAAGTTACGAGTTCATAAAAGAAATCCATCGAATTTAAACCAATTGAAGAAAATTGTGAAGAAGAATGGGTCAAAATACCAACAAGTACCTGCAAGAAACTAGTTGAAGTCTACAGGAAACGACTGAAGGGTGTGAAGCAGAACAGAGGCTACTGTACTAAATATTAGTAAAGTGTGTTAAATACTTTTGCATATGGGTTATTTTATTTTTTGTTAATAAATATTTCTCAAAACAGTGGTTTTAAATTTTCCTTCTATGTTTTGATCGACAATGTTCGTTTAAATATTTCCTATATGTTTCGTTGAAATTGATCTGTTATTTTTTGAGATATGTAAGAAAAACCAATGCGTTAAATACTTTTGCTACCCACTGTATATAACAATCAAAATACTTGTAATCAACTTGTCCATCTGCTAAGGTACCCAGCCTTTCCCGTCAGTCCCCGGATATTTTATAGATCACTCGAAATCACTCCATCAAGAAATAACCTAATTTTTTTTATCCATTTTTTACTTGTCTTTGAGAAAGCCATTTGCACACAGCGCTATCACTGAACATTTTGAGGTAACATCTTGTATTGTTTTTTAAGTTATACTTTGAATTTTTCCGTTTATAATATTTTCTTTTTACCAAAAGTAACTCATCGCTACATAAATATATGTTAACTTAACTCAGCATTCTCTTCTTCAGTTGTTTGAACTTCAATTTCATTTTTTCTTGTTTTTACTTGTCATCAGCTTTTTTTTTCTTCTATGTAGCAGAAATAATCTTTTCACTTAACCAATTTCTATCATTTTCCTCTATTTCGTTTTCTCGCCATCTTTCTTACCATATCTCTCGTTTCCCCCCCCCAACAGAATACGCATGCGCACCTTCTTACCTTCTTTGTATCTTTTATCTTTGTCTTCATTGCTCGTATCTTCAAATTCCTACCACCACCACCAGGACGGCCACCCAGTCTTTTAATTAAGTGACTTGTTATTACATCAGATGAAAAGAAATACCCACAGAATGGCGCTCTTTTCTCCACTCCCAGCCACCGGAGAAGCTTCCCAGCTGTGAGGTTCACATGCAAACCCTTTAGATACAAATAATCCTTCATACAAGTAAACCATCGTAGAGCATGCGTCAGGGATCTATCGTAGCCTGCCCGCGGGGAGTAACCAGAACTCAAGGCTAGTACAGTAATGGAATTCAAAAGCAGCATTGAAAAATTATATAGTGTGTTGGTTTAAGGGGAGGGGAAATACTGGATGCAAAGCTGGGAAACAGGTGTGGGTTTAAGACAAGTTAGTGGGTATGAGGTTTCAGAAGTGGCGGAGAAGAAATATGAAATAGCAAAGACAAGGGATAGAAATGGACCCTTAAAAATAAGAATATTTTAAGACATCTCTAAATTCCAAAACATTGGCTTCTACCGTCTTTGACAACCAGTTGCAAAATCGGCAAAAAGAAAAGTTCGTTGAGAGAAAGAGAGAGAGAGAGAGAGAGAGAGAGAGAGAGAGATCGGAGGCGGGTTGACGTAAATAAAGTATTAGAAAGAAATAGAAGGAAAGGTAGCAGAAAAAAAAGCTGACCATGAAGAGAAGGACGATGATAACAGAAAAGAAAGAAAAAACGAGAAAGAAAGAAAGAACCCGAGAAGGAAAAGAAGAAATTAAAGGAAAGAAGAAAATAGAAAAAAAGAATAACAAAGAAGAAAAGAAAAAAAAAGAGAAAATGAAAAGGAAAAGCACAAGAAGAGAAGGAAACGAAGAAGAAAAAGATAGGAAGAACAATAAAAAAAAAGAGAAAAAGAAAAGGATAACAAAAAGAAAAAGAAAGCGAAGCAGAGACAGAAAAGGAAGCCGAAATGGAAAAATGAAGAAAAAAGAAAATGAAGCATTTAAAACAAAAAGAGGAAGACAAGGAAGAGAAGAATTAGAAGAAAACAAGAAGAAAAGGTAAAAAATGATGAAGAAAAAGAAAGAAAACAGCGAGAAAAAGAAAACAGAATAGAAGAGGATAAGAAAAACAGAATGAAGAAATAAAAGAAAGAATGGAAAAGGAGAGAGACAGATTGGCACAAAAAGGAGATAATAAAATTGAGGAAGAAGGAGAGGACTAGAAAGAGAAAAAGGAAAGAAGAAGATGAAGAAAGAAAAGAAAGAGAGTGAAAGAGAGATAGGTACCAAACGGAGATAACGAAAGAGAGGAAGAAGGAGAAGACTAGAAAAAGAGAAAGGAAAAAAAGAAGAATAACAGGATGATGAAATCAAAGAAAGAAGAGAAAAAGAGAGAGAAGTATAGGTACGAAAAAGGAGAAAACAAAAGAGAGGAAGAATGAGAAGTCTAGAAAAACCTAATTACCTTCAAGAAGAACTAAAAAGAGAATGAAGAAATTAAAGAAGAGAAAGAGAGAGAGAGAGTGAGAGATAAGAAAAAGGAGATAACGAAAGAGAGGAAGAAAGAGAAGGCTAAAAAAAAGAAAAAGAAGAAAAAAGAAGAAAAATAAAATGAAGGAATAAAAGAAAAAAAAAATGAAAAAGAGGGTAAGGGATAGGTACGAAAAGAAAGATAAGATTAGAAAAAAGAAAAAGGAAAAAATAAAAAAAGAATGAAGAAATAAAAGAGGCAAAGGAAAGAGGGAGAAAGAGGGATAGGTACCAAACGGAGATAGTGAAAGAGAAGAAGAATGAGAAGACTAGAACAAGAGGAAGGAGAAAAAGAAGAAAAAAAACAGGATGAAGAAATAAAAGAAGGAAGAGAAAGAGGGAGAGAAAGAGATATGTATCATAAGATGATAACGAAATGGAGGAAGAAGGGAAAGATTAGAAAAAAGAGAAAGGAGAAAAAGAAGAAAAACATAAAGAAATAAAAGAAAGATAGGAAAGATAGATAGATAGATAGATAGATAGAGAGGATAGGTACAAAAAGGCGATAAGGAAGTAGGATAAGATTTGAAAATATAAAAAAATAAAAATAAAAACAGAATGAAATAAAAGAAACACGGGAAAGAGAGAGAGAGAGAGAGTTATCAAACGGAGATAACGAAAGAGAGGAAGAAGAAGAAGACTAGAAAAAGAAGAAAAACAGGATGAGAGAAATAAAAGAAAGAAAGGAAAGAGAGAGAGAGAGAGAGAGTTACCAAACAGAGATAACGAAAGAGAGGAAGAAGAAGAAGACTAGAAAAAGAGAAAAAGAAGAAAAACAGGATGAGAGAAATAAAAGAAGGAAAGGAAAGAGAGAGAGTTACCAAACGGAGATAACGAAAGAGAGGAAGAAGAAGAAGACTACAAAAAGAGAAAGGAGAAAAAGAAGAAAAACGGGGCGAGAGAAATAAAAGAAAGAAAAGAGAGAGAGAGAGAGAGGGATAAGTACGAAAAAGTAGATAATGAAAGAATTTTAGAAAAAACGCGAAGTAAAAAAAAAAGGAAGAAAGACGTATAGACGCTGAGTAAAAACTACAATAAAGAAACAAGAAAGAAAACACGAGAAGATAAGAAAAGTTGGCGAAGGAATGAAATCCGTGTGAGAAACCCCCCCCACCAACCCCCCCAAAAAAAAACAAAAAGAAATCTGAAGAAATATCATCAGCAGCATCGCCTTCAAAAGAATGCAACATTTGACAAAAAGGTACAAATGTAACAGCGGTTTAAAGAAACGAACCAAGAACATTGAATAATTTGAATAATGACAATGAAAGGATGAGAGAAAAATGAAAGCCAAAAGGAAAACTTAAAAGAAATAAAAAAAACATAACAAGTGTTGACAATAGCAAATGTATAATGAAAAATAAATGGAAAAGAAGAAGAAATGAAATTATAGCAAATAGTGATCAACAATCTTAATAATATGGACGGTAGCATAGGTAAAAACACGCAGAATAATAGATGTATAGAAGCAAGTTGGGGGAAATATTCATAAATGTCAGGTCCAAAAATAAGAAGACACGTCTGTGTTCAAAAGAAGTTAGCAACATTGTGACGTAATTTCAGATTGGGCGTTTCTTCCATCTACACCGGTTTCTGGTTATTTATCGCTGTTCTCTTTCCTGTATCCGCTTCGTCGTTCGTTTCTCTTATCACAACTGTATGTATAGTACGATGTACACCGATTGAAGACGACTCTGATCTCCAAGTTGGTCTCCATATAATGGGGAATCACCAATCGCTCACCCGGATGATAGACAAACTACACATACGGGTACCTCAGAATGGATTACTAACACACCCGGATGTCCCTCCTCGACTCCGTCCAAAAACGCTAATATTATACACAGTTGGTAATAAGCCAATTTCTTGTGGGACAACAAAGAAGAAGGGTCTCTTTTGACGGAACGACGTACTCGCCTTTTCTCGCCAAACAAAGATGAACTTTCGTCGGGAATAAGGCAAGTCCTGTTCATCATTTCTGCCATTCAATTCTGGTTCTGGTTCACTAAGTCTGCTACAGTGTTGTCAAAATTGCAGTGGTAAAAAGGTGAGATAAATATTAGAGAAAGGAAAATGTTTGGCTAAAAATACAACGTTGTTATTACTACTACTACTAGCGACAACAATCACAACACTAATAATAATAGCAGCAGCAGCAAGAAGAAGAAGAAACTGGTATGAACATCACCCAGACCCGGTCAGAGGGACAGGACCTGTAACAATTTTATGGGAGTTTACAACACAAAGAGGCAGAACAATCAAAGCTAATCGCCCAGATATTTTGATTAGAAAAAACAAACAAACAAAAAAAAAAAAGAATGCTTTCTTACTGACATGGCAGTCTCTGCAGATTGTAATATAATTTTGAAGAGCTTCAAAAACTATCAAAATACAAGGACCTTGAAATCAAAATCTCAAAAATGTAGTACATGAGGACATAAATAATTTCAATTGTAGTTGGAGCCTTCGGATTGATTGGAAAAGGTTCCGAGAGACTTATTGAAGGGATTCCTGGTAGCCCATGCCTTAAAGAAATACACATTATGAAGAGAATTGTCTATCTAAAATGTGTATGTTTTTTTTTTTTTTTTTACAGAAATGAACAGTGGAAAATGTCATGAAGCCCTTTCTGACCTTAGGTATCTGGTTGGGACCCGGAAATAAATGTGTATACAACAGAAATCAAAGGAATTATTATTATTATTATTATTATTAATAATTATAATAATTGAAGATTTTGCTTGCAGGATAAAATTTAATAATGGGGTATAACACAGACATACATTGTGTCCACAAAGTCTTCAGACAATTTCAAAAGTCTTACGATAAACCTAGAAGAGGTGGCAACTAAATTATTATTTACATTGTTCAGACTGTTGTCCCAATCTTTGTTGCCATATTCCCGATGCTGATTGGAATTTCGAACTGAATTTTTTATTTCGTTTACTTGGGTAGGTTATTCTAGTTCCACGCTTCATGCCTCTCCGGATGTCTAAGTATGTTATCTTTCTTTAAACTTAACTCTCCAAGTTTTTTTATTTGCCTCAGCTGTAGCCAGGCATTGAATTCACAAGTCATTGGATTCTACCAACACGCAAGTTGAGCGAGAGATCAACAAAACTCCTTGTAATAAAAGGATTAAAATCAGAGAAAGAAAAAAAAAAAAAAAAAAGGAAAAGAAGAAGGAAACGAAGGAAAATAAACAGAAGAAAAAGAAAAGAAAAAAGAATCAGAAGAAAAAGAAAAGAAAAAAGAAGAAAAAGAATAAAAGGAAAGAAAACTGAAGAAAAATAATAAAAGAATAAAGAGAAAAGAATTAAATAAAAGAAGAAAAAAGAATAGGAAAAATACGAAAAGAAGACAAAAACAAGAAGAATAAAAGAAAAAGAAGAAAGACAAGAGGTAAAGAAGTGAAGGAAAGAAACGAGGAAACGATAAAGAAGAAAAAAAAAGGGTAAAAAAAGGTGACGAAATAATAAAAGAAAAAGAAAGAAAAAGAAATTGAAGAAGAAAAAAGCAAAGAAAGAGGAAAAATAAAAGAAAAAGAAATCTAAAAAAGAAAGAAAAATAAGAAAAAAGAAAGAAGAAGTAAAAATGTCGATAAATGTCAACTTGGTTAATTCTGGAAGGCTCATACCAGTGACTGCTAAACTGTTTTCAGCCCTAACCACTACACCCAAATTATTAATCTGATGGTAGGTCAATAAATGTTAAAATTTAAAGTCTAGCTGATTAAAAATGAATAGATCATTAGAATATTCAATTTTAAAGTCTAGGTCATTATAAAAGAATAGGTCATTAAAATAATCAAATTTAAAGTCTAGATCATTAAAAAAACTGTAGGTCATTAAAATGTTAAAATTTAAATTCTAAATAATTAAAAATGTCTAGGCCATTATCAAAACGTCTAAGAAGTCTATGGCATTAAAATGTCTAGGTCATTAAAGTATTAAAATTAAAAAGTCTAGGTCATTATAAAAGAATAGGTCATTAAAATATTAAAATTTAAAGCATAGGTCATTAAAAAGAATAGGTGATTAAAATATTAGGTTGAGGCATAGATACTCTATGTAATGACGAATTATTCATCTTAATTGACAAGAATAAATCCCTACAACCGACCGGAAGAACTGAACTCTGAGAGATAAATGTAATCGTAAGTTCATCATGTTCAAACACCGATTCCCGTACGATCAACCAAGTTAAGCCTGGTCAACACATAGATGGGTGACCGCTTTGGAATACCAGGTGCTGTAAGTTTCGATGTGCGGGTGGTGTAAATGATAATGGTTCAGAATTGTTAATCGATAGGTGTGCTAGCACGAAGTTGCAAGTCATCGTGGCCGAGGGATTGAGCGTGATGGCCTTGTTCGAATTGTTTATCACAATAGATAACACGCTATTTCCCAGACACTTAAACTAAGGTCTGCTCAGCATAGTTGCAGTATCAACCACAAGTGGGCTCTGTGGATGTTGAATAAACACAAATGCGCCTGAGCAAGCGTCTACAATAGGGATTGGCTAGCCGTCCTAGTAGACAGGTATCCTTGAATACGAGTGGCCAGCCACACACACACACACACACACACACACACACGCACAAACAACCTGGGTTTTATAATAAGTATAACTCGATATGAGTTGTCTCCCTTTCATTCTCGCGACAGCGATGCCTCTTAATCGTGTTTTCAAATTGCTTTCGTGCAAAAACAATTGTGTTTTTCCAATTTTTGGCGCTGTCAGAAACACCGCAAGGTAATTTTACGTAGTCCTGTGAAGTTTTGTTGAAATCGGTTGAAAAATGTAGGAAATCCGATCCAATATATAAACGAACAGACACACACACACACACAGAACCTGGGTTTTATGATAAGTATGGTTATGCTCTCTGCTGTTATGTGATATAGACATTATAGGCAATAAATTTGGGTTCGTCCTCTGGATTTTGAGGAATCAATTAAAAGTTGAAGGTTGCGTAACCCTTTTCAAACCTATTCTATTAGCTCCATACGGGACTTTATCATATATTCAGTAATAATAATAGAATGCTATGCACTAATGAGTTAAATATTTTCACCATCCAAGCTTAGCTGAGCCAAAGAAAGTGTGAAACTTACTAATTATTAAATCAAGAGGTTGTCACCCAAACCTATCGTGTACATCAATACTTTTATTCACTCTAATATTTAGTAATAGTAATAAAATTTGTGTTCTAAAGCTGACTGCATTTTGAACCTGTTTTACGTGGGTAAGGTTTTTCAGATTTTATCACTGCTCACTGACTTAGTTTAAGCAATTTTCTTAAAAAACACTAAATATTTCTGGTGGTACATGACTAAAATACCAAATATTAGTACTCAATGTGTATGTCATATATTGAAAATAAGAAACTAAAGGCATTTTCAATAGTCAGAAATGGTAATCTTAGGGGTGTCGAATTTTAAATTTTAGGCCTCGCCACTTCAAAATTGGACGCCATGCAATAACAAGTTAAATAGTTTCAGCATCCTAACTTAGGAATCAATTGAACAGTTTCCCCGAAAAATATAAGGACTACCACATGTCCAATATCTGACCAAAGAAAAATTTCAGGGTGAATCCATATATATATATATATATATATATATATATATATATATATATATATATATATATATATATATTACATTTCAAATTAGTCACAACACATTACATTGCATCTAGACATATGGTTCTGTTGTTAATATTTCGGCCTCTCGCGTGGTATGGCGTCACAGAACCGCAATTTGAACTTACGAACTGCGTTTGCAAATTCCGCGACCATTATCGTTGCATAGCAATCTTCTATGGAAACATAACAAAATATTATCTTTGATGGTGAATATCTTTGTTAAAATGTCCATATAACAACTCTGAAGATTGCTCATGCGAACCAAAAGATTAGATCGAGGAACAGCTTAATAAAAATTATACAAATGCTGATCAGTTTTTGTCTTTATTTTCACCTGAAATTAAAGCAAACATACATACATTAGAACGGCTCGTGATCAGACATAATAGACATTCTTTGTCTGTTATATTTAACAATATATGTTTAGATAATTATCTGCTTCCCCAATTCATTATTATATATATATATATATATATATATATATATATATATATATGAAGAAAAATATACGGAAAAAACAAACAAAAATCCTAATATGCAATTATGCTGTTTTAATGTTAATATAATGTGACGCCGACGTTGACCATATCGAAACGGAACGCTGATCTTGAAAAATTTCAGTTGTCTGTTTTGATTAGTCTTACTCTTATGTCCATCGTCTATTCATGTTGAATTAAATATAGTCTAATGTAAATTATGTTTTATGAATATGTCCTGAAGATGGTCTACTAGACCGAAACGTCCGACGATGACATTATATTAACATTAAAACAGAATAATTGCATATTAGGATTTTTGTTTGTTTTTTACGTATATTTTTCTCCATACTGTCGGATCTATATCCATATATTTGCTTACATATATATATATATATATATATATATATATATGTGTGTGTGTGTGTGTGTGTGTGTGTGTGTAGCTGTAAAGACAACCGTGAAAGGAAAGCTCTTAGAACAATAGATAAAAACGACAATTTTTACGCTCCTTTACCCCCAGCTAACTGAAAAAAAAACCAGAATAATACAAAACCTAAAAAAAAAATAATCAATTTTTCTAGTCAGCCATATTCAACGAAATATATTTGAAAGAAAGTTTGCTGACCAAATTATGTATATATATATATATATATATATATATATATATATATATTAAGACATTTTTATGTTTAACATTCTTTTTATAGATACAAATATTTAAGTAAATGCTCTGTTTATAATAAACAGCATTAAACAACATTTACCGGCCTGAATATCAGAGAAATTTTCATAGAAAATATTCGTCCTCCGGCAGAATTCGAACCTGTATCCTATACGGAACCGTCATATAGCCTGACGTGCCTATTGACAGAGGTATATATGTATACACACATATTTATACCTTTTTATATAGCTATATATGTACACACACACACACACAAACACACATATATATATATATAAATATATATGTGTATACATATATATATATATATATGTATGTATACATCTATATGTACACACACACACATATATATATATATATGTGTGTGTGTGTGTGTGTGTGTGTGTACATATATATGTTTATGTATATATGCCGCATGCTCTCAATGAAAAATGACTAATGCAATGTTCAAGCAATATGTTTAATTTGAGAAAACATTCATAGGGCTTCTTTCAGTAAAAGAAATGCGTTTGAGTCTAAATGAAAAAGAGATTATTAAGGTTTTCTGTTGCTCGGGTGTCAGCGGGTGGCAATATAAACTCAACATTCGCGCAGACAAGTGGAGGGCTGATGTCACACGATGAAATGTAGGAAGCGGATTTTTCGAAAAATGCAAATGCAGAGGAGGGGATGGCATAAATGGCCGACTATACATACTAAAAAAGAAAAAGAAAAAGAAAATGTCGCTTTTATTTATTTATTTACCGATTAACCAACGGTGTTTGGAAATAGTTTTGAGAAGGGTACGTTGTGGAAAATAATAAAACAGTATAGAAGAATGCCGTTACACATCAGAAGAAGGACCCCCGCGGCGGAACACGTGGCTTGTTGATCTGGAGCGGGAGCAGCAAGCGGGTCGTTTTGTCGAGTGCGGATGTAGATATCGACGGCAGAGGAATAGCAGAGATGAGTTGAAGGGTGTGGCAGGGGAAATGAAAGAGAGAGAGAGAGAGAGAGAGAGAAAAGAGAGAGAGAGAGAAAAGAGAGAGAGAGAGAGAGAGAGAGAGAGAGAATGACGGATTAGAAAAAATGGGCAATATATGATAGTAGTAATTGAAAATAGCAAGGATTTTCAACAAAGAAAATAGAGGATATATCGAGCTGAAAGAAACGCTAATAATAACAAAATTAAGATTATGTCTGAATACCTGTATTTGCCCATACATAGACATCTTCATAAGAAAACGTGCATATTCATAGGCGTGTACAGTGGCTGAAGAAGTTGCTTCTTTCGCTTACACTTGTGGGCAAAATAGGATTCTTAAATTTAGAACTGGTAAACTGTCTGACATATATAAATATATGAAATGGGGTTTGGTGACTGTTGTCGCTTTTCTTTAGTTCTCCGTCGGTTGTCTGACTACGCTAGTCTCCACGGCTGTCTTCAGGCCAGTATATCAAAGTCTCATTCAGTTTTTCTCTTACTGAAATTAAATCAGCGTCCGTTTAACAGGAAAACTATTTGTACTATTAAATCACACAAACAAGAGAGACTTTCCAATCCTTGTAGTTGCAGACCCAAGATTTCTTATAAAGGTGAAAATTCTCACTAAAGAATTTTGAAGGAAGAAACTTCTTTTTTTTATCATGAAATCTTGCCTTCTCGCAGATTTGTGATTCATCAATTCACGGACCAGTGAAAAATCATCATTCTTCTTTCTCTTTTACTTTCGGGTCTTGTGGCCATTAATTGACTATGTCAAATATATCATATTTCTTTAATACATTTCCAACAACCTCTATATTTGATTTTAACTTTGTATGTTTCTTTCTTTATAATCA